TGGCCATACATAGAGACACCCTCCCCCCATTCTGCACTCTCTGCTGGTCAGTTTCTCAGTTCAGGAAACATTGCATTGATGCTCTGATTAAGGGAGCTCACTACATACCAGATTACTCAGGAGAAGGTTAAAACACATACAAGGACCTGCCTGGATATGGGTCAGGTTGGCAGACAGGAAGGGGAGGATCTTACAGGGACTATATAAGCTCTTAGTCTGAACTGTGCTGTCAGTGAAGTGACAGCAACAGTACTAAACTCAGAGCCTATATGGGAACTGGAGGTATTTAATCTGCTCTGATTAATAGCTTCTATAATAGCCATATATCAAACAGAACCTGATTCAGACAATTTGTTATATATACTTATATTTTAACTTAGTAGATGGACATGAAGCTAAGAGTAATTTGCAAATAATCCTGAGACTCCTGTGAGCCATGTCTTTTCTTATGCTCATAAAATGGAAGATCTTAAAACCTGTGTCCCTACTCAGCTGATGACTGTTTAGGAGCCTGTTGCCCTATAATTGTCATTTATAAAACTGAAGAAACGTAAGAATTTTTGGTAGTGTGGATGTCTACTTATGTGAGTTGGTTAATTTGCTACCTGTTCAGCTGCAGAGCAGACTCCAGTGCTTTGAAGCCTTCTTACAACTTGAGTGAAGTCCTTGGGAGTTCCAGGGGGCTTCAGCATGTGCTAAAATAGATGTGCCATAGATCCAGACACTAAAACTAAAACTAGCTTGTCCAACTGCAGTAGCCTTAGTGAATTGAATGAGTTTACTTAGTGTTGGCTTACCAATAAATTCCCACTGATTCCATTGGCCTACTCTTGTTAGTATTAATTAAATTTAGGCCACAGTCTCTATCTTTGAAATATATGGAAGAACCAAAGAGTGCTTTTGATTCAGTCTGCCTAACAATAAGACCCCTCTGTTATTGTTGGATGCAACCTGTTGACATTAAAGCCTATGGCTAACATGTTTTAAAGACCCTTCAGGGTTTATCACTGGGAGTGGAAAAATGTGCCTCTTAGATGGTCCGAATCCAGTAGAATAGCTTTCTACTTTTTGCATTACATAAGGCTTAAAAATTACAGCAAGGGCCACACTAATTGGAACAAAATGATCTTGGCCAACTTTGTATTATATGCGATTATTCAAGGCCTGGTAGGTAAAATTTCTCATCTACTCCAGACTGTGTCAGTATCTCATTAGTTAACAGCAAAATCAAACAGGAGGAGCAGAATATAATATAAACGCGGACGCTACAGTAAGTTGTCCTGCCAAGTTTTTCTCTCCTGATTGGCTCTCTAGACGTAAGTACTATTACTATCTTCATCAGTAAATGAGTATAAACAATGTCCTACTTTGTGTGTGCTTAGAGGCTGCTAGTTTAGAAGTACTTTGAAGGGCTGTTTAGCAATGGAATTTCACACCCAGGCGGTTGTGCAGCAATCCCAGCTTTGCTGTTCAAATATGCTACTGATCTATGTGATAGCTTCCATGGCAGGTATTGCATTATAGAGTATGTTGTTGACACCACAAAGAACTTAAACCTCACAGTGAAAAAATGTCAATGGTTCCTAATTGAAACAATTTTGAAATAGAAATATGTTATTCAACATAGATATATTTTCCTAGTTTTATAATGAAAAGTGGCAACATTAATTTGTGGAAATAAGTGAATTTTATTATTAAAATGATTTCTACTGACTTTAATAGATTCTCTAAACCGCCTTTGCATTGGATGTTTAGGAAAAGGTGAGTATGATCCATTTGCTCAAATGTAGGCTGTGTAGTTTGAAAAAGTCAAACTCATGAAGGAAGCCCTCAGTTTATTCCAGTAAGCTTTTAGGATACAGGAAACTGCCACAAAGATTCAGTCTTGAGTACTCCTATTAGGAATTGAATAAATTGAATACCAAAATACTTGGTATGAGGCTCAAAGCCTAGTGAGAAATCTAATGAGGGCTAGTGAAATGTTTGTCAATGGGACAATCGTGTTGTGAGCCTTCAAGTTATTGTGACCCAAAGTTGAACCTATCACGGGGGGGGGGGGGGTTGGCAGATTTTTTTTTCAGTGGGAGTTTGTCCTTGCTTTCCACTGAGGCTCAATGTGTCTTGCTCAGTGTGTCTTGCACAATGTCACCTAGTGGGTTTCCATGGCCGAGACAGGACCTCCTAGTCCAACCCTCAAAGCACTGCACTACATCATTTTATTTGTAAGGGTGTAATAATTTATTTAAATGCTTTTCTAACATTTTCTTTATGAAGTAAAAAGTTACAGTGAAATGTAAATTTCAGTGAATGGGGATTCAGGGCCCTTCCACACAGCCCTGTATCTCAGAATATCAAGGCAGCAAATCCTACATTATCTGAGTGTGGACTCAGACAATCCAGTTCAAAGCAGAAATTGTGGGATTTTCTGCCTTGATATTCTGTTATATAGGGCTGTGTGGAAGGGCCCACAGTGGAGCATTTCTGCTTTTTGCTCTCCCTCTCATTGACCATAAAAAAGAATAGCAGTTAAGTAGTCAGTGAAGATGAAGGCCTACTGAGAACATCTTCTCTGTAATTAGATATTTATTTTTCTCTGTCAGAGAACTCGGATGCCACAACAAATAGCAAATCCCAGGATTTCAAAGAATGGAGCCCTTGCAGTTAAAGAGGTGCCAAACTGCTATAATTCTGCAGTGTGAATGTTTTCTTAGTTGGTCAAGTATTACAATTTTTTCATCTCTAAGTCTTTTTCCATCATCAGAAGAGAGCCATTTAAATCCATGATGCTTCATTCAGTAAGCTCAGGTCAGTTGATTAGATCTACATATGACCAAGGGAATATCCACACTTCACAATTGACTGTTTAGTCACCATAGCTCTCTCTTATGGAATCCTGGGATTTGGAGTTTCTTTTCCTGAGAACTTCACAGTGTAGTTTAGGGCAGAAAATTATAGAATGCTATGTCCTTAAAATAGTTTGATTTGATAAAATGGAATAAAGACAGCCAAATGGCATAAAGCTGTTTTATCTTTGCTATGTGGATGAATGCTAAGTCTGAATTCAACCCATTTAAAAATGCAACAAAAAGTATTGTACCTGGTATAATGTGAAAACATTATTTTCAATTGTTATCTTAACAAAAGAGAAGTCAATATTTTTATCCACTGAGGGAGAGAATATAAGCAGATTAATAGACTACATTATAATTAATTTTGTGAATCAAGAGTCTCTTGAAAACACCCCAATTGTTTTTAATAAGGAAAGAAATTTAACTGTTTCATTTTTAAAGGACTGTTTTTGTATTTAAAATGTGGAGCAGAAACATTTCTGCATGATATTCTCTTAGGGACACTTGTGTGAGTTGGACAGAAGCGCACATCCTTTGGCAGTTTAACCAGGCATGACAATGTAGCATTGACAAAAAATGCAAGGGGATTTGTACCAAGTTAATAATGATGTGTCAAGCAAAATCATTAGTGCACTGCTTATGCTCATTACAGTGTTTGGGATTAAAATGGTGCAGTAGAATTGAAAACTTCAGTTAAGGGGCTGGAAATGCATCTGTGAAAGTAACAAGAGACTATTGTTCTTTCTGGCATGAAAAATATTGGGTTTTGTTTAAGATTCATGGATATTTGCCCAAAATACACAGATAGAAATCCAGAACATTCCTTTTGCCTTTTTGGTTGTGGCTACTAGAATTTTTAAAAAGAGATTTCTTGATATGATAAGAATATTCTCATTTCCCCTCTATGTACCTACTCAGTAATATCCCAGCTGGTATACATTGGAGATATGATTAGACTCTCTGGCCTGCTGTTTTCTGTCTACTGGGTTGACCTTCTGAAATGAGATTTTTGAACTCCACACAGCAAGTCAAATATAGTGTTATGTTGCCACTGTGGTTATGCCACAAAGATCTCACAAAATGATGGATCAAAGAAATTGTTTAGAGCCAACATGCTGCTGTCAAAGTATATTCTGTTCAGCATATTATAATCAATTGCTGGCTTATATTCTGACTATTTCATATTTCACAGTTGATTACAAAAACCAAGTTAGAACTGTGCTGAATAAGAAGAAAATGCTTTCTTGGATGATTCCGTTACAATTAAGCCACCATGATAGGAAGCCGATAGTCATTTCATTTGTTTTATCTTGTGTTTTTGATGAATAATTTCAGAGCTATAAGTATAACTGAGCTTATGATGCAGCTTCATGGACATTACTTCAGTAACAGACAATTTGATATCAAAAGCAGAAAAAAGCTAAAAGGTCATTCCTACATTATACAAATGTATACCAGTTCAATGTGTTTCCGCAAATTTTATTCAATACTAACAAAATGAGTTGGTGAAATGAAAGAACCAGATTCAGTAGATTGGTACAAATCTGACTCTGATTTTAGAGAAAAAAACAGTCAATAACAGAGGTTTTGGACTAAAGTGGGGTTCCTACCCCATTGATAAAAATACTGCAACAGAATTAGGATAGGTGGGAACTTTCAACAGAATGAATCTACTGCAATTTAGTTCTTGAAGTTAATAGCTGGAATATGATTGGAGGATTTGAGAGACTGGTTACTTAATTTGCTATTGTGGGCTGCATTTGGACTGAGCTAGTCATGTTTTACAGTGTCATCCCATTCATATTCACACAGGAGCTATGATTGATTGCATCATGTGGAAGACTGGGATTTATAAATTAGTGAGACAGTAATGATCTCTGGCATAAATACAACTTCAAATTACAAATCTCAGGATTCCATATGATCATAGTGCTACAATTAGGCTTTATGAAAGAGATCTCGGTTTCTAACACTGGTTATTTCCAAATAAGTACTACAGGATTGAAGCCTTAGTTTAGACCCAGCTTTTTAATCATTTCTAGGACAGCAATTTTAAATTAATTCACCTTTCCAGTTGTTTTTGTCATTGGTTTTACTGTTAATGTTCTTTCTCCTTTTGTTTCCTTTGAGGACACTACCAGCATTGCTAAAAGAGAGCATATTATGTGGCATCCATGGATCAAATGCCTACCAGTATGGCTCTTATTGATGGTGGCTAATGGGAGTACAATTATGCCTACAAGAGCTCCATTGTTTCCCAACAAGGCTTTCATAGTGGTGTGGAATGCACCTACTGAACAATGCCGACTACGCTTCAATGTGTCTTTAGATCTAAACATTTTCAGCGTGCTATCAAATCCTAATGAAACCTTGAGTGGGCCTACTGTGACAATATTTTATCACACTCGGTTGGGATACTATCCCTATTTTAATGACAATGGAGATTCTATCAATGGAGGTATACCACAGAACCAGAGCATTATCAAGCACCTAAACAAGGCCAAGTCGGACATTGATCATGTCATAACCATGAAGAAATTCCAAGGGCTTGGAGTTATTGACTGGGAAAACTGGAGACCACAATGGGACCGGAATTGGGGAAATAAAACAATTTACAAAAACAAATCTCTTGAACTTGTTAGAAAGAGGCACCCACATTGGCCCAAGAATGCAGTTCACAAAGCTGCTAAGGAAGAATTTGAAAATGCTGGCAAGAATTTTATGAACAGCACCCTTTCTCTTGCTGAAAATATGAGACCAAGTGGATTATGGGGTTACTACCTGTACCCAGACTGCTATAATTACGATTACAAGACCAAGAGGAATACATATACAGGCAAATGCCCAGATATTGCATCTTCACGTAATGATCTTCTGCTTTGGCTTTGGAAAGAAAGTACCGCCCTTTATCCTTCAATATACCTGGATAAGAGGCTGAAGTCAAGCCCGAATTCCTTGAAATTTGTACACTACAGGGTTAAAGAGGCAATACGCATTGCTTCCATTGCTAGGAAAGACTATGCTTTACCTGTTTTTGTGTATTCTAGGCCATTTTATGCCTATACATTCCAGGCTTTGACAGAGGTAAGAATACATTGGAATCACGTTGTCTTGCCAAATAACTTGCTCTTGATCTGTTTGCACATATATTTAACTGTATTTATAATTGGTGCAACAATGCTTTACTAGAATTTACTGGGATCCTAATTATAATTCAGGACTTTTCTGCACAAAGTTTGCAGGTGTTCGCATAGAAATACTATTTTCTGTGCAGAAAAGCTATTTTCTACACAAGACAAAATAACAGTAATGCTTGTTTATAACGCCCTTTCCAGAAAAATGTGGACCATCCACCTTTATACTACAAGAGCAAAGACAATGAAAATGTATACATTTTGCATGGAATGTCCCAATTGTAACTTTTCTTGTGCAGGAAAGCCACATGTGAGTTTTCACAAAATGTCAGAAACTGTAAAGATTCTTGTAAGTCCTGGATTCACTTTGTTGGGATTTATTGATAATTGAAACAATTTTTTTCATGAATTTCCAAATATTTGAATATTCTTTCAACTCCTAAAAAGTTAGCACTACAATGCCTTATCCCTTTAGATCTAAACTACATACTATGTGATGAAACATGGTCTACACAGATTTGCTCTCATAGCACAGATTTTCTCTCATAGGAGGTGGACATTTTGTATATTTTCTACTCATTGTGGTATTTAATCAATTTTTCCCTTAATCATTTACCTGATATTTGACAAAATAGATAACTTTTATCCTTCTAGGCAGACTAAAGTCAGCAATGTGTATGTGTGTAATTTAACCACTCCAGTGAAAACTAGGACTTCATATTCTTTGTCAGTGTAAATTCAGATACTTTACCAATATCAACATGCTAGTTGTGTTTGATGTTTCTGATCAAACCAATGTTTCGGGTATATTGCATTGTCACTTTTTGATTTACAAAGGTGTTGTCAAATCAACAAAAGTAAGTAAAAGATCAAAGATAGGGGAAATTGGTAACCAAAAAGTGATACTGTGTCAAGTTTTGTACTGGAGCTCAGACCTAATTAACATAGCCTCAAATAAAACAGAATGTATCATATATTCAATAATGAATAAAGAAAAAGCAAATATGCCATTAAATTCTATACATAATAATTTGAAAACCAAGAATGGTTCCCCTGACATCTATTTCTTTTTTCTCTTAGTGCATGTGTGAGCATGTATTTATGCATACTTGAAAATATGGAATTATAACAATTCCACATGCTGTCATTTAAATGCACCCAAGCATGTGTGATCGATTTCAGAAGTATGCTCACAAAGCATGGCCCCAGATGTTAGCTATAAATCAGTAGTGGTAAGGAAAGAGACATTATCGCTTGTTGTGTGTACACATTCATCTTATTGACAGCTCTGGCAAATTGGGTGTGCAACAAGGGTTGTTGAGTTTTGAGGGAGTGTTTCAAAAGCATACCTTCCAAAAATTCACAGATCAAAATAAGAATGTCTTGCTAGGATGGCAAAAATTATTAATTATTAAAAGCCATCTGCTCTTGTCTGAGTCTACTGGAAAGGACAAAATTCTACCATTTCCTTTCCTCCTGCTGAGCTAACTAAGTATAAACAACTTTTTTACACTTTGAACTCAATTTGCAGTAACTAAAGTGACAAGTGATAGAGATGACTGTGAACAGCATTGGTAATAGTGGCTCTGCTTTGGTTCTTGATTCACTGTATGACACATTATGCCTATTCATGTCTTTTCAGATTGACTTGGTGCATACGATTGGTGAGAGTGCATCCTTGGGGGCAGCAGGAGTTGTCCTCTGGGGAAGTATCCAGTATGCCAATTCTTATGTAAGTGAGTTTGCCTTAAAACATGCCTGCCAGTTAAATTTCACAAGAATTCATGAGAGCCATCCCTTCACCACTGGGAGTACAAGATAGTTTCCATTGTTGAACTCCAGTGAATGACACCAAGTTAGGACCTGAGATGTTCAGAAGAGGCCCTTTTCTCGGTCCCACCTCCATTTCAAGCTTGGTTGGTGAGAACGAGAGAGCGGGCCTTCTTTCTTGGTGGCTGCCTCTCAACTTTGGATCTCCCTGCTGACCTTCCAATGTCAGGCTAAAGCCTTTTTATTCAGGAAGGCTTTAAAAGAAGGTTTTTAAGATCAAGTGAGAGGGTGCTGGGGTCCTTAGCTTTGTTTATATTTTTATGGATTTTAACTGAATGTTAAAAATTATTGCTATGTTTAATCATGTTTTAGTGTTTATATATTTGTAAATTTTAGATTGTAAGTTGCTTTGAGTCTCCTTGTGGAGAGAAAGTGGGATATTAATAGTAATAATAGTAGTAGTAGTAGTAGTAGTAATAATAATAATAGGATTCTTTTTGGAGAATATTGATGCCATTTCTCCATACAGAAGTGGTAGGCTATGTGCATCTCATGGGCCATACATGGCTTCAGTCTCTTATTGTAGCTCTGGTTCTCTTCACAATGATTATTTGGGAAGAAAAAACATTTTTGGGGGGTGTCCGGAATTTGTGGCACAAAAGCTGTGGGTTTTTTTTCATGGTAGGGGGTTTTGGTTGTTTTTTTTTTTAAAAAAAGATTCCTCTTGTATTTTGGGGGGTGGGGTGGGGTGGCATGCTATTGAAAATAACAATACATGTTTTAAAAATATTACATGAGGAAATACAGTGTTTATGCAGTATGCAATATGATCCCCATTAACATAATGGGAGTATGAAACAACTAATTTATGCCATTTTCCCCCCAGGAAAACTGTCTTACTGTGAAAAAATATGTAGATGGTCCCTTGGGGCATTACATCATGAATGTGACCTCTGCAGCCAAGCTCTGTAGCAAAGTCCTATGTAAGAAGAATGGAAGATGCATTCGTAAAAACAGCGAATCATTTGATTATTTGCACTTGCATCCACAGAGTTTTAAGATTAGGTTTTCCAAAGCAACGAACAAAGTCTCTGTTGTAGGAAAGTTGAAGAGGAAAGACAAGGCAGCCATGAAAGAAAAATTTATGTGCCAGTGTTACCAAGGCTGGACTGGGAAATATTGTGAAATGCCTAACTTCAAAAAGAAGGTATGAAATTTATTGACAATAAATATGATGGAAATTCAGTTGATTATTTAGTATGTCATTGCTACAGTTTTCTGAGACCCCACAATACCAATCAGAAGTTCAGGAGTGTCGTGGGGATAGCCAGGATGGAATTCATGATGAATATGGGTTTTTAAGTCCACCTAGATAAATCCCTACACAGGTATAGGCAACTTATTTGGATGTTGCAAATAACAGGGGATGCTAAATTCACTGAAGTAAACACATCAGGATTTCTTTGGAGGCAACCATGAGTGTTAACTGCATATTTTCCAGTTATAATGACTTGGTAAGACAGTGCAGCTTATTGTTCCATTATTTCATCTGCTTTAAATGTCCCAGTTTGTACCCTCTACTCCCACTTTGTTATTTGCTTACTTCAGTTGCTGCAAACTGAGTTCAACACACAAAATCCGTTTGCAGTCAATTAACTCAGCAAGGGAAAAGTGGAGTATGCAATCTTTCCCTTCTCAGACTCGAGGCCCCATCTATACTGCCATATAAAATCTGGATTACCTACTTTGAAAGGATTATATATAGTCTACACTGCCATATAATCCAATTCAAAGCAGATAATCCGGATTTTATATGATGGTGTAGAAGAGGCCTCAGTCAAAAGCAAATTGCTGAAATCTCTCACTGACTTTTGCCATCTGGACCGCAGCCTGATGTTGCTTGGCCTGCTTTGAAAATTCTGAAATTTAAGATCATTTAGGAGCCCCAGTGGCACAATGAGTTAACCCTTTGTAGGCAGGACTGCTGACCAAAAGGGTTGGCAGTTCGAATCCAAGGAAGGGGTGTGAGCTCCTGTCTGTCAGCTCCAGTTTCTCATGCAGGGACAATGAGAGAAGCCTCCCACAGGATGGTAATGCATCCGGGTGTCCCCTGGGCAACATCCTTGCAGATGGCCAATTCTCTCACACCAGAAGCAACTTGCATTTTCTCAAGCTGTTCCTTACACACACACACACACACACACACACACAAAATCTGAAATGTTGGAGGACATGAAAGTGGTGAACAGATGTACTCTAGGCAGTTCTCAACAAAAGAGCAGAAGACCCTAAGTGCACATCCTTCATTACATTTTGGATACACCATAATCATCACTATCTAAACAAAGCTGGGCAAACTTGTTTGTGTTAATGGCTGCTTTCCCTTTAAAATAATGTACTGCAGCAGCTATGTGTTTATGGTGGACACTGGGATAAAGCCAGTAATTGATGGGGCTACCGCCAAAAATAGGTAAATGTACATACAATTATCCCCTTTTACTCAAATATCCTTACTTTCCTTTTACTTGCTACCTAGTGGCAGTTTAGGAAAGGGGCAGACTTATTTCAATATTGGTGTGAGACCTGGATGGGAATAAACAAAGGGTTCCAAGTCACTAAAACTTCAGCTATCCTATTTCGTGTCAGAGCACTAAATTCACAATCCAATATTACAGATGTATACTACTGATTATGAAATTATAACAATTGTGGAATGGTCCTAAATGAATTTTGCATCAGACCTGTGAGGTTAAACTTTTTACATACATGTGAGAAGTTCCACTATCTGCAACTGTTCTTCAGTCTTCATTATATTAAAATCTTCCAAAGGTGGCTAATGAAGGGTTCTTTTACATGTTTTCACATGCAAAGTTTTCATTCAACATTGATAAACCGTATTTTCTGGCATACAAGGGATATATTCACCATTTAAGACTACCCCTCTTCCAACACTATGCCCCCTGCGGCCCTCACCACTTTCCTTTCAAGGACCTCCTCCGCCCTTGCTGCTCTCCTCCTCTGAAGGCCACTGGGCTTGCCTAGGCCCAAGTAAGTACCTCAGGACAACGATTTCCAACAGTCCTGGGCTTTGGATATGTTTGGATGTTTGCTGAGGTATTTGGGGAGTAGTAGTTCCCTGACTCCTACTGCTCCCAGAATGCCTCAGCGAGCACATCCAAGGCACGCTGCCACCTGGGGTTGCTGGGAGTCGTTATCCGGAGGTGCAAGGAAGCACCTCTGGAAAACTTCCAACACCCCCAGTCAGTCTCCATGGTAATGTGGCCTGCCACTCCCCCCCCCCATGCCCTCCTTCCCTCCACCCTCCTCCCTCCCTCCTCAGGCCGCGCCACAAAGGGAGATGTTATTCTTTTCTTTTAATTATTATTTTAATGTATACCCGCTGTACTAGACAACCCCCAACTTTTCATAAAATTTTCCAGGCTTAAAAAGTTGTTTAGTACATCGGAAAATACAGTACTTTGGATGCTATGCTGGACTAGTCATAGTCCACCTGTTGTAAGAAGAGGCTTTGACGCTGTTCAAAACAGGTACATTTTACTGGAGAAATGACTTTCACCCAGGTTATTTCAGGCTGCCTCATTTGTATCTGTAGGAAATTGCATTCATGACTAGCTTATGTACCCGGCATTGCCCAGACTAGATATTTTTCAGTGCTATTTATTAGAAATAGTCATGGTTTGATTTTGAATTATATAAATGGCCCCAGTAGAAAATGCATAACCGACGTGGGACCATATATAAAATCATACAGCTGATGAGATGCAACTCCCATCAGCCCAAGACCTGGTCAGGCTGTAACTCTCATCAGGTTGGCTGGTTGTAACTCCCATTACCCCGAGATATGGCGGGGTGCAATTTCCATCATCCCCAGATCTGTCCACTGCTGAACTCCCATTAGCTCTAGAGCTGAGTGGCTGAAAGTTGAGGGCCTCATGCTGTTCTGAGGTTTCTGCCATCCTTGATGTAATGGCTCTTTCCCACTCATTTTAAAGTTTTTGTTCATACTGTTTGCTTCTCTCACATACTCGCAGTAATTTACTTTTGGTTGCTTTTGGAGGGATTTGTCCCATCTGTGTGCATTTTATATACATTCTGTAGTCACCCTCCTTGATTAAAGGCACACAATTATTCACCAGCTGAAGCACAGAGCAGTCCTTTCTTTCTCCCTCGGGTACTGACCATAGTCTGCTGACATAGGTTTCCATAGCAATCCTCAAGTGGCCACTTGTGGCTGCAATTTGGATATGGCTCTTTCCCACTCATTCATCATCACATTGTTTGCTTCTCCTGCATGTCCTCAGTAATTGTACTTTCTTTGCTTTTGGAGTGACTTATCCTTTGGGTTCTTTTTTAGGCATTATTTTCCAATTCTGCATCAGGGTTGAAATTATTTTTTCCCCTATAGAAATATGAGCATACTTTTATATCTTTCCCTCCTCAATGTATTAGTTAGTTGAATGCCTCCAAACACATGTTTGTGTATCTTCCTCATTGACTAAAATGAATGCATTCCCCCCTAATGTATGTATTTTTAGTCATGTTTCAAGAGGATGTGTGGTTTCAGGCACAACATTCATAACAGGAAATTGATTACATTTTTTTAAGGGGAGGAGAATAAATTCAAACTCAAATTTATTTTCAATTATTATTGAGATTGGAGAGCAAAGGAAGTATTGATTCTAGGCTATGTTTCCTCAGTTGCATCTAAGGGTTTGTCACACAAGTTAGACAAAGCACAAAGCAGGACAAAAGCATTTTCATCTTGGACTTACTACATGGCATTTCTGCTTCCCTACCACTCTCACTGGAAGAGTAGTAGTAGCAGTAGTAGTAGTAGTAATAATAATAATAATAATAATAATAATTCTTTCCAACCTCTTCTCATGGCTCGAGGCAGGTTACAAAATAGCTAAAATACATAATCATAGAGTCAGAGCTCTTCCAGATAGGTCTTATATTCCAGGATTTAATCCCGGGTTTTCGGCTTTAAAATGGATTATATGAGGACAGTTCTAGACAGCCCCTTTATTGTGGCAACTCCTGCAATAAAGAAGGGGTTGTCCAGATGATGTCCTGGACTATCCCAAATTAATTCACTATAAACCCTGGTTTGTAGTGAATTAATTAGATAGTGGGTTTATTCCATGACTTCATGGAAGGTGCAGGATAAACCCACTATTTCTGGTGTCTGGACTACAGTCCAGTCACCTTTCCCACAGCTTTCTGGTCTAAATTAGTCCGAAAAACTGTGGGAATAGCCATCCCCTTCCCCAAACCCCCCAAACCCCTTTGAAAAGTAAAGAAATATTACCCAGTATTTCTATGCGCCGGGAGAGGTGTTCCAAGATTGTAATGGAGGCTGAGTAAGTTTTCTTTACTTTTCAAAGGGGTTTGGGGGAGGGGGGAGGGTCCCCAGATGTTCTGCCAGACTAGTTCTGGCAGAATATCTGGACACCCATTTTAGAAAGTCTGCGCTTTCTGGGATGGGTGTGGACAGCCCTGCAGGAACATCTGCGTTTTAAAAAGTGACACATGGGCCATCTAATCCAACCCCCTGCCATGCAGGAAAAGCACAATCAAAATACCCCTGACAGGTGGCCATCCAGCCTCTTTTTAAAAGCTTCCAAGGAAAGAGCCCCCACCACACTCCAGGGCAGAGAGTTCCACTGCTGAACAGCTCTTATAACCAGGAAGTTCTTCCTAATGTTCAGGTGGAATCTCCTCTCCTGTAATTAGAACCCATTGCCCCGATGGGTTTAGCATGCCCACTGGACATATTGGTTCAGATATTTTGTGATATATAACAACATTACTGTAAACAACCAAGACTTTTCCAAGCCGTTCTCTAAGCGAGACAAAACCATTTACAGTAATTTCTCAAGAACAAGGAACTTCATAAAATAACTAAACATTGATCTAAACTCAAAGATCTCAAGAGAGAATATACAGAAGCATACTGATGTATATTTCAGAAATTTCTATATATTAAAATCACGATATATACGTTTATATGTTATATGTTTATTTATATGTTTGAACCACTGAGGCTCCTACACAGCTTGATGGATCTGGACCAAACTGATATTCATCTGTCAATAGCAAGGGATGGGTTTTTCAAAGAGAGGGTACAGACCAGAAATGGGATACTTATGTCTTATTTCAATGCCAGTTGCATTCTTCATGCAATACATTATATGTCTTGTACTCATGCTGATAGCTAAAAA